ATCCAGCTGTGCCTTGTTGCTCTTGGGTGCAGGAGAGCATGCAGCCCATTGAAGCTGTGATGGATTTGAGCCACCTTCGCCTGCCATCAGCTGTGGCCTGTGGACTCAACCTTGACACATGGACCAGTGTCACTAGCAGCGCCATGCTCAAGCTCAACAAGGACAACCACCACCACATCTCAAGGTGCCTCACAAGAGCAGTGCCCAAGTGTCAGAGGTGTGTGGCAGTGATGTTCCCCTTTGGGTGGGCTCAAAAGGGGAAGACAGTTACCACTGCACCTCTTGCCTACCCAAGGATCTGCAGGGCGCCCCCAAACCAGTCTCACCAGAAGAAGCCAATCCTTGCCAAAAAGCATGCCTGACCCTCCCAAGCAACTCTATGTTGTCCTGCTTGCCAAGCCAGAAGCCGTGTGATCAGCCAAGGAGTGTGCACTTGAATTGGCCTTGAACTACAACCTCTACAGATCACACATATCAGTCCTACCACCTGCCCAACACAACACCATCAAGAAGGCCAGATCTACCTCCTCACCTTGTCACAAAGTCACTGACATTGCCAACCCCCCGGTGCTTGTGCACAGCAAAGGCCTCATCAACAATGCCCAAGCTACTTCCATACCTCAGTGTCAAGCACCTGAGATCCTCCTGCACACACCCAGCATGGCAGTGATGAAGAAGAAGCAGATGAGTCCACTGCGCTTGCTTCTCCTGCAACACCAAGGTACCTCCAATCCACAGTCAGGGTTGACATCCATGCCTTTCTCTTATGTCCTGCTCATCTAACAACCACTTGTCATTGTCCTCAAGGGCACCTTGCCATTTTCAGGGCAAGCTGCTGCCATTCCAAAAGGGTGGTGTGGACTTCATCCTTTGCTGTGAGCACACTCCACAATATGGCAGTTGCTTCCTCTTTGACAACATGGGTCTGGGCAAGACTGGTATGTGTGCACAACCTTCCCACCTTGATACTCACATATCTGATCAGCACTGTCAATGTATGAGGGCAGTCATGGTGCTTGCAGCGCTTGCACAGAATCCACAATGGCTGATGCTTGTAGCTCCAGGTGCTCTGGTTGTGGAGAACTGGCAACAGGAGGCCATGAAGTTTGTTGGCACTGAAGGCACTTGGATTGTCACCTGCCCAAGCACCAAGGCTCTCCAGGAGTTCATCAAGGATCCCAGCTCTTCTGTTGAGGACATGTACATTCTCATCATCACCTATGATGCACTGTCTTAGTCATAGGTTTGCACACCTTTCTTTGCTCATGCCACTGCCATCACTAAGCAGCTGTTTTTGTTTTTAATGTGCCAAGTTGCACAAGCCAATCTGGCAGCACATTGTTTGGGATGAGCTGCAAAACCTCAAGGATGGCAAGACCAACCACTTCCAACATGCCCTGATGGTCAAGTGCAAATGCACCATTGGATTGTCTGGTACCTAACCCACCCCAGGCCCAAAAAGGACCAAGACTGACTGAGTTGCTTGGTCCTTTGCAGGTTTCCCCCTCAAGACCAGCAAGGACAACATCATGAACTACTTCAACAACATGTTGTTCCAGGTACCCCCAGCCTACACACCCCAACCCCACCATCAAGCTGTTCCCATGGGTACCATCTCCTGGATTGAGGAAAGGTCAGGAATAAGGAGCAGCCACTCAACAGCCAAACAGTCAGCCTTGGAGGTGCACAAGATAGAACTTCCATTAGTGAGCAGCTGTATCTGAATGTCTGTTCAGGTGCAAGCCACTTGGACATACCACAGTGTGAGCAGCATACCAGGTACCTGGGCAGATGCAATTGACTAATAAAGCTAAAATAGGAATATGGTACCACTGGAATGAATTTCTTCCAAACATAATCAAGAGCCTTGGCCAATAACTTGACCTGTTCCTTCTCCTCAATGCTCTTGATGAGCACAAGCCAAAGCTTGTTCCCATCACCTTGGTCAACCTTTGCAACATTGAAGTAGACACAGGCCACCTCCTAATGCACTCACTCAGCAATGTTGTCCTGGTCCATGATTGTCTCCTTCTGCTTGAGCTTGGTTGTGAGGCTCTGCAGCATCTGCATCTGTCAATCCTGCTCCTCCTGCAGTTTCACCATCTCCCTCTGCAGGAAAAGAAGAATCTCTACATGGTGAAATGATAATTAGAAATTGTGTGGAACAAAAATGAAAATAAAAGCAATGCATACTGGTGTTCATGACCTCAGAGGACTGTGCCATTGAGGACTGTGCTGTTGATGTGGCCCTAGTGCTGCCTATAATTTTGTAAAACATAAAATGATAATTAGAAATCATGTAGAACAAAAATTGATGTATACCAGCATTCATAGATG